TCAACATTTTCCGTGAATATTTTCCAGCCGACTGCTCAATTTTTTTTATTTTTTTTGTAATGGAAACAAATGCCATGACCAATTTTAAAAAAAAAATTCACTTTAATGGACAATTTCCATGTAAAACAAAATCAAACGAATGGAAAATTATACTAATCAAACACAATTAGTTACGATTCACAGTAAAATAATTTTTAGACAATTTAATTCCCTAAAATTCATTTTCTTTCCACCCATTTTTCACATTTACAATCAAACGGGCCCTAAATTTCTTATAATAAATAATATGTTGCCCCAAATGTACCGTAAATGCTTAATACAGAAAACTTTGCAAAGTCTATAGGGTAAAATTATACAACAGCAGTCCACCTCAAATCTTTCACCTGTATATAATAGGATACAATGTGCTTTTGTGTAGTTCAACTAGATAATACTATCAATGATAATTCTTTACCGATTAGGTGAATTTCAACGATATTGTCACGCTAAACAATTTCGAGTCTTAACAAAATAAAAGTATTAAATGGAAGACTAAGGAACCAATATTGCTACATGTACATCTATAGTGTACACTTCCCCGTACAAGGTGCTTAATCATATACTAAATATCAAGTAAATAGGAGAAAACTAGTAAACCAACCGGTAGAATCTTGATTTATTCGAGGGCAGTACTCACAACAAACTCTCTCTCTCCCCCCCCTCCTCTTCACTTTGTGGCCGTGTTCATTATGTACACAAATCTTCATTAAAAAAAAAAAAAAAGCTTTGTCACACCTTTTTGCAAGTTTTTTGTTTTCCTTTTCGTATTCATCTTCGATTTTTTTCTTTTCCAGATTTTCCCTTCTGCAATTTTTCCTACAGCTCTGCTTCATTGATTTGCTTGACTCTTTTGTTTCATTTATTTTAATGCGGGTATTTCTTGAGTCTACGTTGTGATGCATTTTTATTTTTTAAATAATGAAGCGATCACCTCGACTGCCACATAAACAATTGTTATTAATCGTATTTTTCACACCAGTGGGGTCAGAGACGGATTTGGGGGGCTGTAGTCCGGTCTAGGTCCAGCCCAAATCCAAGTTATTAGTTATTATTATTTTTTACAAGCCTACTTAGAAAATTAAGTCCATTCCAACTAAACCAATCATATTTTTAAACCCAATTGCTAGACATTGAATTGAAGGTCCAATCCAATTTTTAAATCTCATTATATCAGATCCTGAATAGTCATTTCTTCAAAGATTAATCCTAAAAATTGAATTGAAATTGCAATTCTCACATACCTCAAATCTTTTCTCATCAACTATGCGCAAAGGTTTGCCTACATGTTGGTATTTTTTCTTGCTGGTTTAGTAATTTATATTTGATATTTTCTCTCGTCGACTTCCATTAAAGTATATTTGTGAAAATAGAACAATTGGTTGTAAAGGGAAAAAGAAAAAACCAGATTGGTCCAGTTCCTATTTTTCATATGGAACCATTGGTTTTGTCTTATTTTTAATCCTAAAAAATAAATTTTAATGTGTAAATCATCAAGTAATTTTTTTTTGAATATATATGATTTTATATGAATAATGTAACTAAGCAAGATAAAGAAATATTTTTGAATCGAAAACCGATTTTGAACCACACGGTTCTCGATTCTAAGACCTAGAATCAAATCGATTTCAATTGGAACCAGACCGTACTCGTTGGTTCGGTCCGGTTCTAAATTGGGTAGTTAGTTTGGATAAAAATGCTCACACCCTATTTAATAGGCAAAGAAATAGAAGTTCCAACTTACTGCAAGAATCATAATAGCATTTTTGTAAAGTATTTAAATCGACAGAAATAAGTGATGGATAAATATATACTACAAGAGGATTTCTCGAAATATATGATTAAAAAATTATTTGAGTATTAATAGACAATTTATAAAATTAGTGTGGTCAAGCTAGCTTCTCATAGTACTATCCTACATTTTATCAGTATATGAACATTGCATAAATCGTGAAATCATCACCTTTACAATATTTCCAAATATATACAGTGTTAAGGGATAAATTTTATATCGAATAAAGATAAAAATATAATACAACGTTTAAAAACTTGAGCTATTCATTTTAATAAGATTAACATTTTAAGATAAAATCTCAAATCTTAACATACAAAACATCCACTTGGCACCCTATTCATTCTAATTGTGAAATTTGTATAATCACGACGATAATTATGGTCCATAATGGTGTGTATGATTTTCCCTTAAGAAAGAAAAGCTCGTACAATATTTATCTTAAAAAGTGTTTTTTTTTTTTGTGTGTGCCTTTAATCAATAGGATAGGAGCGTTGAAAACTTTTCTTATCCATGTAACTTTTGTAACTTTAATCAATAGAGACTTCTAAATTTAAATTTATTGTCACGTGAATGTAACTTTTGTAGGAGACAATGTCACCTAACTTTGATCTCTACAATGTCTTGTTTACATTTTTTTCTCACAAATGATGGTATATGATTTTCTTGGTGTTCTCATTGCCCTACCAAGTTCGGAAATTGGGGGCAATGTTGTGACTTTTGAGCCTATGAAGTCCACCTACCCCCTTATTTCAACTAACCCATAGTCATAAAAGATTTTTTTTTTTCCATGAAAATCTTGCCTGATATTATCGATTTTACTTCGACAGTGTAGAGTTTCATTGGTACAATTTTATGTTCATAATCTAACTCGATAAATTGTGAAATTGTTTAAAAAAAAGGATGAAATTATAGATTCTTTAAGAAAGACATTTAATTTTGGTGTCTGTAATTAGTACGAAGTATAAAATATGAAAAAACATGAAAATATCCATCGGTTGGGAAAAGATATTAAGATATGGGTTGTATCTTAAATGTCAACTTTATTAAGAGAAATAGTTAAATCCCTTACACGTTGGTTAGTACTTTTGGGGATTTTACACTCAACATGTCCCTCGAGATAGTGGGTCATTTGAACACACCAATCTTAAAATTCAAATATTGTTTTGAAATTAAACTGGTTATATTAAGATTTGAGATTTTACGAGAAACTAAAAAGGTTAAATTATTAAATAACGTCATATGTATATCATTTAATTCTTATCTTAAATACGTTCCGTGTAGGCGAGATTTTATTTTATTTTCCCAACGCGTTCTCAAAAGCATTATTGAAGATTCCATGTTGCAGTTTTTGGACCAACATGGAGTAATTATCAAGACCGAAAAGAAGTGTTGGCAAATTCAAAAGAAGCGTGACAATACGTACCAAGATTCTCATCATTTTTCAAAGAGCATTATTGATTTTCACGTTGTGATTCAACTACTGCAATTCTGGAACCATCATAAATAAATTTGAAATTCGATTCGATTCGCCTCATCTCTAAAAGAAAATCCTTTAGCCTGTTTGGTAAGGTACAGAGTGAATTTCGTATTAATGACCCACCTATTCCGACCTAGTTGAGAAAAGTGGAATTCATCTTTAGCCCGCCTGAAGCGCCTTTGCCACTGTCGCTACAACTGAGCCGTAGGCGCCACCGTCGATAACTTCTTTCTTCACCGTGGATGCGAGAAATAACTGTTGTTGTAAATGTATTTTCTTCAAAAACTTAGCAGTATTTCAAATCAATATTAATATTCACCAAAGTTTTGTAAGTATATTTCGAAGTTTTAAAGTCTGCATCAATTCTGCTACTTGATGTTAGAGTCTGTTCGGAATTGATATCAGTTTGTAAATTTGTTTACAAAATTCTTGTTCAAATAAAATATTAAAGAGCTAGAAATTTATAAACACATGAGAAAAAATAATATAAAGATTTACGTGAAAAAACTTTGAAATCAATGAAAAACTACACGTTATAAAAGAAATTTTATTATGTGAAAAATTGTTACAATCACCGAGTAATTCTCTCACACACCCCCGAATCTACAAGTAAACTCAATAGCCAACATACCAATCTATATACTGTAGGGATTTGTGAAAATGATTATCAAATTTAAAAAATTATCAAACCCTAATCACGTACATAAATATACTCCATTGTGAAATCAATTAAAGCATTAAAAGCAGAAGCATACATTGATCCATGTGTTTGATTGCTTGAACGGGTTATGATCTTCCAATTGATACATAGTCTCCTTCTGAATTTTCTCTCTGTTGATGGGGATGCAGAGATTTGAAAAAATCACGTACAATTGAGAATCATGACCCATGAAATAATAACTGAATATGTAGTTATTATCTTTTATTTGTTCTAAATTGACCCCTCACCAATTTAAAACAACAATTCTGGTCTCTACACTTTATTTCCAAGACATTTAATACCCATTAGTCTAATCTAAAATTAATTTTACTATATCACTTTATTGATTAATGTTTAAGATAGCACTACACATTTTAATATATATACATGTGTGGCCCCATATGTTGAAAATTTTTTCCGACATATACCACTTATAAAGGATCACCAATCAAGATAACTCATAAATATGTCATAAATCCGAATAAATAAAACGATTATTGAAGACTCTATTCATAGAGACGGAAATAGATTTTAATTTTTATTTAATGTGAAATTCTAAACAATTCCATCAAAATTTATATACATTCACTGATAAAACCAGCTATAGTCGAAAGAATTCGAACACACGGGTTCGTCCTTTATTCTTGAAACAACTGTAAAAGTAATTTCGAAATCTTTAAAAGAATTAGAACAAAAATAAGACAAACTTTCGAAATCTTTAGAAAAATTAGGATATAAACAAGCCATACATTCTCTATAATACCATTTATATATAGGTTTTGTCTTTGTTAAAATTTCATGCTTTTGCATTTAAAGATGTTCGATTTTCATTTACAATACTTGATTATGATAGGTTACGAAAAAGTCTTATAGAGAAAATCCAAAATGTACTAATATTCATTGTTCCGATATAAAGTAGTTTCGCAATAATGCGTGACTAGGCTTGTAGCTTTTCAATCATTAATATCTTTAATTTTTAAATTTTTTGTACATGTGATACATGAGTAGAGATCTCATCAGCTAGAGATGAAACAACTTAAAAGTTCATTTTATTTTAGTCATCTAATTATAATTTATTTCAACTTAATATCCAATTTATATTTTTGGATAATTGGCAGACAACATCCTTATCGTTTGTCTGTTTTGTTTAAATCGTCTCTATCATTTTAATTTTTAGATTCGAAACCTCTGATCGATCAAACTTTATGTGAAAAATTCTCATCGACAAATTTCTTTAGTTAAAGCTTTGTATAGTATTGAATTCACCTTCCTCTTTAAATAAATAAAAAGAAATAATAAAGAAATAATTACAACTGGAGTTTCAATTCTTTTCAAAAATTATAAATGAGTCTCACTTAAAATAATTAAAAATATATTAAAAAGGGGGGATAAAAGTTTAATCTTCTTCCTCCAACTCTACCCCCACCCCCATCGTCGTCCAATGACTTGCATCGATGGCAAACGTCTCACCCATTTTGACATCTCTAACTAAGATAGAAAATTCTCTAATTTGGTAAAATTATTGTTCAAAAAGAAAATATGAATTAAAATTAATTAATTTAGATAAGGATCTTAAAATATCATAACTAGGCAATCTAGGAGGCCCTCATGACTCAAATTGTTAGCATCCATGACAATTTGATGTTTTGTCAGCTTATAGGCAGCCCCAAGTAGTCATTTTCAAAAATTAGTAAACAAATATCTTAATTATGTTTTTTATTACAAAATAATGTCAATGTCTTAACTGCTCTCACAAAATACCAAAAAAATAGGTCAAAATCCCTAGCATGATTGTTATCCCCACACCAAAACACAAACCCTGTTGTCTAAATCTAATCGAGCTAGCATCCTTGACGTTGTTGTCAACGTTGAGAATAAAGGATAGAACGTTAAAAAATTGTATTTTTTATAAAGTATCGAACGTATATTCGCTAAAAGAGTGAAGAATCATGGATTCAAAGTAAAAATGCATGTTTGTTTAGTTCTATATTCTCTATGTAGCTCAGTTCTTTCTTTACTAAACTATAAATAGTAGAGAATGTCCTCTCTTTTCCAAGGTTAGGTTTCTTAAACTCTTTTGCTAACTAAGATTTTTCTTACACATTATTGTACAAAGAAAGTAAGACATTTTCAAAAATAAAAAATAAAAAATATTAAAGTTCCTTTACAAAAGCCTTAGGTCGATTAGTTGTAAAATTTTCCATAGAAGCTTTATAAACATTATGCCCTTGTTTGAGCCTCCTTTTAAAAAAAATAAAAAATAAAAAAAAAATTCTCGAACAGTGTTTTAACCACACATTTTTTAATAAAATAATATGACACGTAAATTTAAACTTTTTCTTATTTTTTAATTACACATTTTTCATCAATACACTGTTCAAAAATGCATTTTTTTGACAAAAATGAAGCTCAAACATGCCCTATATTTTCTTTAAAAAGAAATGCATAGACCGACTAATAATAAATGTACAATTATGCCGTGTGTACAAAATACTGTACACACATAAGTCGGCCAGAACACTCACAAGCTAGTGGGGTCCGGCATTTTTTGCAATATCTTATTTACAGTGGAATCCACCTCCATGTGAAATTTCTTGTAAAATTATTCTGGTGAAATGGAATTATTCATAGATGTATACAATTCAAATTTAATCTAAGGTGACAAAAACAGGTAAAATTATCAAATGAGGACAGACCATCTCAACAACCTATTAAATAATTAATATTTTAAATACATTAGTTTACTGTATTAGTCAATGCCAACTCGGAAGACACGACAACTAGTAAATAGAATGAGAATCACATGGTTCCCAGTTGCAACTTGCCCACGCTTCACTTTCAGACATTATTTACCTTTTTTTCTTGAATTTAATGTTTGCTCTTTTCAGAAAATAATAATTGCTAAGGGTCTGCGTTAGGTGAAAACAATTATAAATGTTCCCACCCACCTTATCCTCATGGCATAAAGGAGAAAAGAAAGGTAAAAAAATTGATTCAATAAGGGTCCGTTTAATTGTAAGAGTAAAATTTGGATGGAAAGAAAATGAATTACAGAGAATTGAATTGTCTAAATTTATTTTCTCATGAATTGTCAATTAATTGTGCTTGATTCATATTATTTTTCACCCAATAAATGTTGAAATTTTGGATATTTTGACGTTCGTTTGACCTTGTTTTTCATGAAAATTGTTCATTAAAGAAAATTTTTTTTACAATCACCCATAAAATTTATTTTCATTACAAAAAAAAAAAAAAACAACTGGAAAA